TTCTCTTTATGCACACAAATTTGTTGTTGTTATTATTATTATTATTATTAGTATTATTATTATTATTATTATTATTATTATTATTATTATTATTATTATTATTATCTTTGTTGTAGAAATGTACAAATTCTATATAGGATGATATTATTTAACAAAATAGAAAATCTGAGAAATGAAAAATTGGAAGAATGGAGAAATGGAAAACTGGAGAAATGGAAAAGGAAAACTGGAGAAATGGAGAAATGGAAAACTGGAAATGGAAAAACAGAGAAATGAAGTAAACGACCCCTAACATTTTTAACAGGTTAACTCTAGGTTTTTGTTGACTGGATTACCAAGTATTTATTTTATTTACATTTCTTTTATTATAATCCACCTACGTAGTAATATATTTTAAAGTAATTATAATCAAAATAGTTTTGTCTTGTCGAGATTTGATTTATTTATTATTACGGAGTATTTTTTTAACTGGATCTTCTATTTAAAAAATAATAATAAATAAATAAATTATATCTAGACAAAGACAAAACTATTTTGATTATTTTTTTTTTGAGAGGAACTATTTTGATTATAATTACTTTAAAATATATTACTATGTAGGTGGATTATAATAAACAAAAATGTAAATAAAATAAATATTTGACAATCCAGTCAACAAAAACTTAGAGTTAACCTGTTAAAAATATTAATTGTTCTTTTTTTCTCACGTTCAATGGCTTATTTGGAGGTTATTTGAGTTTGGTGACTTAATTGATGATAGTTCAGTGGCTTATTTGCACTTTATCCCTACTTGATTATGAGAATGTCTCGCTTATCTTAGTATGCTCAATAATTGCAGCAAGTGCCGGTTTAGAATGGAGTTGTATTTATAGGAGCACAAACTGCACAATATAAGGGTGTGTTTGGTTCGCACATGGGAATCGGAATCGAAATGGGTATCAAATATTTGATAATGGTAATGAGTTTTGGTGAAAGTATTTAACATGTTTGGTAGTAGGGTGGAATGGGAATGGTTACTAATAGTAGTGCTTGAGAATGAATAAGAGAATGAAACCCTTATTTTATTTGAGTTTTTCAATTGATGGGGTATTCAAAACCCATAGTAGTGTTCTAAAAAAACCTATTAACCAAACACTAACAATCACTTTCATACCCATTCCTATAGGCAAAACCCATCAACCAAACACACCCTAATATGTTTTCCGAGCGAATGGAAAGGCGCCGAAAAGTTCACCCTCAAAAAGCAAAGTCCCTGCCTCACCCTTAGAAGCCTCATACCCTGGCCTGAAAAGATTGTTGAATGGTAAATCATAATGATTATCGGGATGAAACTCCCACATTGCAATTGCTTAGGCTCGATCTTAAATTTCCATCAGAATCTATCATTCGCATATCAACTGAGCTATCGGTGCACGTGTAAGCAGAAATCCTGAAAGCTCGGAGGTATAGGTTGGCCATCGGATATTTTGGGATATTTTGTTTGTCTTCTACGTAAAGTTGTGTACAAATATGGGAATTCCACCAATTATTGAGTGCCACGTTGCTCCCACTGTTCTCCGAAACATACGTTTTCCGTGTTCCTTCTCCAAAATACTTGTCGAATCAAATGATTTTGTATACGCGCACCTGCAATGGATATGTCATATGTAGGAACACCAAACTATCTTTCTACATTTTGACCATCTACTTCATCTCACTTTTGTTTCCTTGCCTAAGAGTAGGGTTGGTGGATAGAGAGTCCCATTCTGTTATTTCTGGGAGTAATTATCTTTTATCAGCCAATAATGTGAAGTTAATACTAGATATAATCATATAAGAGATCACCATATCACTTGTTAGAGTAAAAAACAGAACATTTGCAAAAAAAAAAAAAAAAAAAAAAAAAAAAAAAAGATGTGTGTTGATTCGCAAGATATATAGGGAAGTTAATATTGGAAATATTAGTTTAAAATGACATTAATAGTTGTCATTTTGAAGTATATTTTGATTGTGTTTCACTTTTAATTGGGTCGTGTTGATATTAATTCAGGTTATTCTTAGTGAGTAGTTTAATTTGATATATTATACTTTTGATGGCTTAAATAGACCCAAGAACATACGCGGGTTCAATTTCAGCCTACGCCACTTAGTTATATTGAGACATAGTGTATATGTAAGATGTAGTAATTTAATGATATTGGGAAGGCCGGTAAGGGTCTAACCTTGACCATATGAGGTCGGGAAGTTTTGGTTGGCCAGTACAATACAAGTTGTGAGGAATTAGCCCCTTACACTATGTAGGATGTTCTATTTATATTAAGTGATAAGGCAACATAATAATGGCAAGTTGCTAATAAGGTATCCATTGATTGGACACTCTGGTTGGCCATGACCCATGTAAGTTGTTGATGTGGCTGCGGAAGTTGACCTATCTAGTTGCAATACGATATCCAGTTATTTAGCCAATAAGACTGCCTTATAATTCCATCACTAGTCCCCTCTACTTTGTGTGGTGCGAGAATTGTCATTAGCACAAGGAAGTAGACAATGAAAATTAGCCTGAGATCACTCCCAGCTAGATTTGTTTGAGCTCCTCTGCTAAAGCCAACTACCGGTCAACTAATCTTTCAAGACCAAGAAACCTAAAGATACTGAGACCAGTAAGAAGCCACAAGCTTGATCAGTATTCGGGTTATAGGTATAGTAGGGATGCCCTATAACTCGTTCAACACTCAAAACAAATAATGGAACGTATGAAAAATTGAATCTCAAAGTGTACCCATTGAGTTGAAAAAAAAAAAAAAAAAGTTTTGAAATGCTTTTAAGTATCTTTTGCTTCACATTTGGAAAGTATGTGGGTTTGCACTAGTTTATATACAATTCAACTTTGTAAGGAGTTTGAATTGTGTAACATAGAGACCTTCTCTCTCACACGTGAACGAGGAAGGGGAGAGGGAGGTACAAATCAAAATCTCAAAATGAGTTTCGAAAGGTTTAACTTGTATGCACAAAATTGGCACGCCACTGAGGGTTTGACCAAGGATCTTCCTGTTAAGGTTTGTGTTCTAAAGTTATGATCTTCTTGTCATTAAATATTTAACTAGCAAAATATTTTAAGCATTAATAAGTTTTGTTTTTTTTGTTTTTTGTTTTTTTTGTTTTTTTTGTTTTTTTTTGTTTTTTTTGTTTTTGAGTTTTTGCACTCTCATACTACTTTCAATTCCCTAAAAACTATCTACCAATTCAACGTCGTACTAAAGCAATATATTTGAGTGTTTGAATATACTGTTGTAATCGTCCATTATTCATCAAAAATTGACGCTTTAGTGCTCCTAACATTCTTAGGAGGAAGCAAATCGATTTAAAGAAAAGTGTGAGTGCTACATGCCTTGGATTAATTCCGTTTGCCATTTTTTGAAAAAAAATTAATTTCAAATTTGTGACAAATTCTTACATTAAACTTTTATGTAGATGAGATGACAATTCATCATATTCATTTTTACCATGTTTATAACCTTTGGAGTGTTCCCATCCTAAAGAGTTTAATTTAGAGCCAATGCTATTTGGACATTGTAAGCGTATGCTCTAGTCTATTTGAAGAATTAATGACACAATACATACGTTGTATTGTATACTAAGTTGCTAGATATTTTCCTATTTGGGGTTGGATGTGAGATCGTGTAGATGCAAGAAAAAAAAAATGAAAGAAAATGTAGATTAATATGTTTATGCTTTCAAAAAAGATTAATATGTTTATAATATAAAGTCATGATTATTGTGTATCTAATAGAGTAGGAAACTTTTCACTAAAATGCAATACAAATAAAGTCAATGCCTCAGTGGCATGTTTATTAAGATGAATTGTGATCATGATTAATTAGACACAATTAGCGGACAGCTACAAACTAATATTTCCTAAAAGGTAAATGTATCATGTATTCTCCACTATAATATAATCAGGTGTTTGGTTTTAATTAACATAGTATTGAAATTAAATGCTTAATAATCATAGTGTTAGTTTGACTTGGTAAATAAAAAAGTTACAAGTTTGACTCTTAACGACACAGTTTGTTGGCCTTTTTAGTTTTAGCCAGTCAACTATAGGCAACCATTGGAGTCACAAGGCAGGATTTACTCAATACACACTCTCGGATAGTGGTTGTGGGTTTCTCTCGTTACTCTACCCTAGCTTGTTAGACCACAAGGAGGTAAACCAACTTAATTAGGTTGCTTCAGAGAGTAAAACTTAGAATCTTGTGATTACCAAACCAACTATATATCCTATCAACTTAGCTTGGAACAAGTGGACAACCCTCCATCTATGAACATTTTTTTATTCAAAAACGTTTAAAATCTCATATCGGACTAACTAAAGATGGTAAACCAAACATATTTCTTTTTTAGTACTACTGACTCTGTTATAATGCAGTATCTGTAAGCACAAAGAGTTAATACCGCCTCCACTGAAGTTCGAACTCACGACCTCCCATATGGAGAAGCAACTTGGTGCCACTAGATCACAAGGTCCTAAAATGCAACATATTTATGATTGTTATTATTCCATTTCTTGCATCTAAATCCATGGGCCAAATGTCCGGCCACTATGTTTTGGGTGGTGTTTGAATTTGACTATATAGTTTGAACACATTCAAACTAAACAGATTCTCTCAGATTTTGTGGTATAATAAATCAAAGTAATGCGTATAGTACAAAACAATAAAAAGACAATGAATATTTATAGGGCAAGAAAGTTGATAAAAAGAAAACATTTTTTTTAATAAATTTTTAAAACTAATATTACTGTGTATTGTTTACGTGTTGTAACGTAACAGAGTTTGTTCATAGAAGAGAAGGAAAAAAGTGTTACTGTAGGAAGTTAGGAAGTGACATCAGCAATGGGGACAACCAACGAGCCATGCGCAATTGAGCGGTCCTCACCAGTCTCTCTCTCTCCCCTTTCCCCATTCCCTTTTATAACACCTTGCTTTCTCTCACTCCAAAGAACTTGCTTCTTAATTAATTCCCACTTCCTCGATCTTCTCCTCTTCCTTCTTCTTCTTCTTCCTCTCTGATCTTCTCAGAACTCTATCCATTGGGCTGAGCTGAGCTGAGCCAGAAATCATCATTCTACTCAGAACCCTCACCTCAACTCTCTCTCTCATCTCCCCTAGCTAGCTAGCCAGTCTTTGCTTAGCTTCCACAGGTAAGATTTGATTTTCTCCCTTCCCCCACCTCCATCAATGCATTGCCATGCATGCCAACCATGTTTAATTTTTTTGAGTGACGAGGAAACCCTCAGCTACTACTTAGGCTATTGGCCTGTTTTCGATATCATCAATTCTCTAAGTTTCAGTGAAATTGTGAATTGGTGGAGCTGGTTATCAACCCTGCACCTCGTTGGTCGTCAAGTCTTCAGGCTTCCGTTAGAACTCAATTCCTGTGCTGGTTGGTCTTCAAATGGTCGTTTTAAAGGAAAAGGATCACAAGAAAATAAATCAGTTTATGATGGGTGGTATAGCTTATTTTGAGAGTGTAGTGCCAAAGAAAGGGAAATTAGGGAATAAGGTTGAGGGATAGATGTTGCTATGTGGATTGGAGACAAACAGACACCGGAGTCAGAGAAGTCTCTCTCGTAGTTCTCCATTTTGCAATCATTCAAATTCCCATAGATCAATGTTTGTAGAATTCCGCATGTTTCCTTTCCCCCTTTGTTCCTCTTTCACTTGCCCTTTTTTCAAGCAGCTTCACCCTATCAATCTAACGCGTGCCTATTTACTGATCACGTCACCCTTTCTTGTCCTTTTGCTGTCCCTCCCATCCCAACTTCTTCCCTGACATTCTTCATTTCTTTAATTTTTTTCTAAGAGTCCATTAACAATTCACTTACCAACTGTTTTAAGATGCGGAGCGGAGTTTATTTTATTGTGTGTTGTAAAAGAATGTTTTGTTTTTTGTTTTTTGAAACGTTGGGGGGAAGACTTATGTTGTTGGAGAAGAATGATTTGTGCACTTTCCGCCACGAGACAACATTATTATGCCACTGACCTTTACTTAATTATAATCTATCACTTGTCAGTTTCTTCGATCCAGGCATGGAACAGCGTACATACTGGCGATCGAGACTACTCCACCCTACACCTCTAGACTTTAAACCCCCTCCTGGTTTTCATCAAATTTAACACCAAACTTTCATCATTTGGTTTCCTCTCCTTTTCATCTCTTCCCCTTCTTTTAACCCCACCATTTTCACAATTACCTTATTTGTTGTTTCTACCATACCAATTTACAATAAACAAAAAGGATAAAAACAAATCATTCTTTTTTTTTTTAGTACGACCCACATCTGGCCTGGTATCAGGTAGTCACATTAAGTTTAGACCTTAAGATAAAATAATTTGAATTTGGCTTAACTCGATACTTCAGTAGTCAGTATTCGAGAGAAGATATCAAGATGGGCAGATCCCTTGTGCACACAGCCATTTGGGGTTACTAGTGTATTGTTTTTTTTTTTTTAGTATTATTATATTTATATATATAGGAAAAAGAAAAAAGAATTGATGAGGGGTGCTTACCACCAAACAGGTTGATGATTATATCTGAAAACACTTGTTACCTTTCCAATTGTAGGGTTCATAATTTCTATTCAATTCTTCACCTTTTAGGCCTTAGCCTGTTCACTATATCTGTCTTCATTTTCCCCTTATATTTCACACTTAATTGCTACTGATTTCTGCTATGATATGATTTAAGCATGATATATGGTGGATGGAGTAGCAGTAAAAGAATGAATAGTATCTATACTCGTTAGTTCATCTTAATTCATTACTTTGGGTTTAATAATTTGATGCAGATCAGATCAGAACAGTGTCGTCATGGATACAGATGAATCATGCACTGTTCCTCCTGGGTTTCGATTCCATCCCACGGATGAAGAGCTTGTCGGATACTATCTTAGGAAGAAAGTTGCGTCGCAGAAGATTGATCTTGATGTGATTAGAGACATTGATCTCTACAGAATCGAACCTTGGGATCTTCAAGGTATGTATAGGAAATATGTTGTTCTTTGTTTCATCGTACTGTGTACGTATAGTACTGCTAGGGTTTCTTGAAGTTTGTTGGGTGGCCGGGGCTCTAAGAGCCAAGTCCAGCATGCTGCCATTGAAACGTGACACTTATTTGGTCTCAGAGTAATTATGGACCTATAGTTGAGGCTGGTAGGTGTTGGGAAGGGATTGATTTTTATAGAGTTGAATTTTTGAGTTGCAGATAAATGCCGGATCGGGTATGAAGAGCAAAACGAGTGGTACTTCTTCAGTCACAAGGACAAGAAGTATCCGACCGGGACGAGGACGAACAGGGCGACCATGGCCGGATTCTGGAAGGCTACCGGCAGGGACAAGGCGGTGTACGATAAAGCAAAGCTCATCGGCATGAGGAAAACCCTCGTATTCTACAAAGGCCGGGCTCCAAATGGTCAGAAAACTGACTGGATCATGCATGAATACCGCCTTGAATCTGAAGAAAATGGCCCTCCACAGGCAACTTCTATTCCCTTTATTCACCTCTCAACTCTAACTCTTTCAATTCTTTATGGAAATTTATTTTTCCCTCCGTCTAAAATTCAATATAACAAATCTTTAGATCAACTTTAGTACATTCGAGTTACAGAATATAATATCATCGGGTAACCCTAGCCAAGTTAGTCTAAATCTGTTAGATCCTTTGTGTTTTGGAATTAGACCCTTTGTGTTTTGGAATTTAACTCAGGACCCATCCCATTTTCCTCCAAAGTGTGAGGTGTTGATGAATGGTTTGAAATTTTTCATGCAGAATATATGTTTTGTATAACCTATGACTAGTCATACATATATATATGCTTGAAACAAATTAATTAGAATGACTCCTAGTGGCTCTAAGTCAAAAGACAATTTTACTTTTGAAGGAAATTAAACAGTGTTCAACCCCCTTTTTTTCCGGTCATTAAGCTTTGAAGATCTATAATATAATCACTACTCATTCAACCTTTCAATTGTCAAAAGGAAATAATCCCAAATCATCTCCTTCCTCCACGCCTCTTTGCCTGTTTTCTGCTACTATATATACTTCAATTCTTTGACCTATCTTACATGGAGAGTACTAAACAAAAGTTACTTTAATTTAAAACACGGCTGGAAATTATGAAATTTCGGACCACCTAAAAGTGATATTAAATCAAGTCAAAAGTCTTGTTCCGACCACTTTTGGTATCCGAAAAAACCTTTGTTGCTATTTCCGATCACTTTTTACTTTCAACTTGATTTAAGATTACTTTCAGATGGTCGGAAATTCCATACTTTTCAGCAGTGAAAGTACCATTTTATTTACTTTCTATTGATCTTGTTAGGGTGATATAGCCAAGACTCTCTAGTAGTCTCGATCCTTTCGTTTTCTTTTTTACTTTGTATGAAAAATAAAAAGTTAACACTAACATTATCAATTTAGCTAGCATGCTTAGAAGAAGCATGCTCTCTAGTTGCATGCCTTTGTACTTTGTCTACTATACGTACAATATATGAATATAAATAGTTTATAATTTCTTTCTCTTCTATTAATTGTATCATGTATGATCAACACTGGTGCTGATAGTAGAATAATTCTGGGTTTATTGGCTCTTTGTGCTTCAGTAGATTGAAAAAATAGTTATGAACAGATACTACATTGTAATAGAGTCAGTAGCATTCAACAAAAATTAATTAATTGTGATGTATGTGGTGCAGGAGGAAGGATGGGTGGTGTGTAGAGCATTCAAGAAACGAATCACCGGACAAGCGAAGAGCATGGAAAGCTGGGAATCCAATTTCTTGTACGATGAACCCAACATTAACAACATGGATTATATGACAAGGCAGGCGGCGGCGGCGGCGGCTCCGAGCAATTTCATGGCGGCGCAAACATTTCTGTGCAAGCAAGAGCTAGAGGCCTCAGAAAACCTCACTTTCATGCACGCCGATCAACTCTTCAACCAGCTTCCCCAGCTGCAAAGCCCCTCCCTCCCGCTCCTCAAAACCCCGCTCCTCCCGGAGAACCACCGCAGCAACGCCAGTGAAGACGACGCCTCCGCCGGCGAGCAGATCAAGAAGATGAATTGCGTAAGCGACAAGAAAGTGACGGATTGGAGGGCGCTGGACAAGTTCGTGGCTTCCCAGTTGAGCCATGATGTTAACCAGGAGAGCTTCGAAGATCATCATGGGTGTGACGAGATGGGATCGTTGTTGTTATTGCAGAGCGAGATGAGGGATAATAATGGCGGCGGTGGTGGTGGTTCCGGCAGGTTGAATGACTTCTTGAGTTCCGGCAGCTCAGAGTTTGACAATATTGGTATTTGCATATTTGATAAATAAATAATGAATTGAAGAGTGCATGCGCGCATGGGAAAAACATCGGAGCTGATCTGATGAGACTCGTACTAAAATTCGATCTACCACGTACTATGATTTTATGTTCAAGATTATCAGTGGGTATATATTATATATATATGATAAGAATATATATTGATGATGATATATATACTATTCTGCAATGTAAAGATATATTTGGCTGTGAGATCTATCCACAAAACCACACTCAATGAGATGAAATGGGTGCCATATATATATTTGCTCCATCCAATATAATAAACTACAATATGTATCCACTATCCAGGACTAGATAACATGATTTTTTTTGTTAGTGTTATTGTTCAGTTTTTATAAGATCATAATATTTTTTTTGGAACGAAAATCATTGAAATCAAAAGATAAAAAGAAGAAAAAAAAAAAAAAAACAGCATGTACTATATTATCACCTAGTAATAATCCTACGAGAATCCAGTATAACATCATCCAATAAAAGTTGTGGCATAATGCTATATGATGATTATTGATCAAGAATTGTTTTGTTCCATTCTCCATTGTGATCTATTCGGTAGAAGTTGGTGAAGGATCAAGTCCAATAATTAGTGGCTATAAGGATTATGCTCGGTGGAGGTCAGTGAAATGCCAAATTCAACATTCTGCCTCTCTTTGAGCTATAACTTTTGGCGCGCTTGATCTTAAGAAATATTATCAAAGTCAAGTCACGAGTTTAAGGTAAAAACTGTGCATGCAGTTAAGATTGGTACAGTAAAAATTAAACTATAACCTTTTGCGTAATACTAAACGTGTCATTAGTACACTTATTCTCTTACAGCACGTTTGGTTCACGGAATGAATTTTGGAATGGAATAGGTAAGGGATAGAATAAGAATTGTATTCTATTGTTTGGTTGGCTGAAAGATTAGACTTTAGTAATTGCATTCCATGGTTGGTTAAATGAATAGAAATGGAATAGGTTTTAAAGATATAAATACCCTTATACAAAATAATAATAATAATAATAATAATAATAATAATAATAATAATAATAATAATAATAATAATAATAATAATAATAATAATAATGAATATGATTATGATATATTGAATGTTATATATATATATATATATATATATATATATATATATATATATATATATATATATTTTATTTATATTTATATACATGTATATGCATGTGTGTGTGAGAGAGAGAATAATAACAATAATAATAATAATAATAATAATAATAATAATAATAATAATAATAATATTATTATTATTATTATTATTATTATTATTAATTATTATTATTATTATTATACAAATACATATTTATATTTATATTTATTTTCCCACTTATCCCACATCGATTGAAAAAGTGAGGAATGGAGTCTTGAGACTCCTATAAAAGGAGCCTCAAAGCTCCATAATTTAAATTGCAATGCTCATCTGCTAGGCAAGCTTGCAATGATCATCCGCTAGGCATGCATATGGGCATGCTACTTAATTTAGGAGGTCTAAGGAGTCTTATACAGTTAATTATATATATATATATATATATATATATATATATATATATATATATATATATATATATAATATCAATGGTGTTTTGAGAAAATATTTTTCTTTTCCCAAAATGTCAATTGCAAACGCTGCAAAATGTGTGTGTGTGTGTGTATATATATATAAATAATTTATTTAAATATATATTTACTGATAGATAAAAATTATAATTAATTAAATATATACATTTATATAATACATTATATTTATTAAATAAATATAAATATTATATAATGTGCAAAAGGTATTTTTGGTATTTGTGATATAAAAGATATTTCCAAGGGCATGGGAATAGCTAATACCAAGGCCACCCTAAGAATGAATATTCCCCTTGTGAAGGTAATAGCTCATTCTTAGGAATGTTATTCCTATGACAAAATGATCCAACCAAACGATGAAATAAGTTTATTTCAATAAATGTTATTTCATTCCTGACCTATTCCATGAACCAAAAATGATATTAGTGTAGAATGTGAGGAATCTCTTTAATTCAATTCATGCAAAGAATCGATCTTTTATATGAATAATTTATTTACTTAGCTTTCTCGAAATAAAATTTGTCTTGGTTAATGTAAACAGACATTAATAGAGTTTTTTGCACTTTTAGTCCCACAACTATAGTGGCACTATCAGAATTGATCCACGACTTTCAGACCTTGCAATTTTAGTCCACGACTATTGTTTTTTTGGCAAAAATGGTCCTTCCGGCCACTTTTCCGTCAAAATTCCACCGAAGTAAAATTTTTTCATTTTTAAGAGGGCTAAATTTGACATTTCCCTTAACAATTCTTCCTAGATAAAAAAACAATTCTTTATTGCAAAATATGGCAGCAAACAATCAGTAATACAAGCCTCTTAAACATGTCAACTTTAGCCTTCTTAAAAATGAAGAAATTTTACTCCGGTAGAATTTTGACGGAAAAGTGACCGAAAGGACCATTTTTGCCAAAAAAACAATAGTCGTGAACTAAAATTGCAAGATCTGAAAGTCGTGGATCAATTCTGATAGTATCACTATAGTCGTGAGACTAAAAGTGCAAAAAACTCGACATTAATATTGTTTTAAAAAATAGGATACCACGTTGGTTTTTTAAAAAATACCGGCACCGTATCCTTTTTTAAAAATTAAAAAATTAAAAAATTAAAGAGATACGTGGTCGTTAATTTTTTTAAAAAAACCGACGTTGTATCTCTTGATTTAAAAAATTAAAAATAAGATATGAAATTAGTTTTTTTGGATCTTAGGAACGATTGTACTTAAATTTTGATAATGTTGTGATTGTATATTAGGACTTTATTTAGATACCTTATTTATTTCATTGCATATTGACGGTAAATATGTTACCGGAAATATATATTATTAGAATAACGCAGTGTAAAAGAGTGACAATAGTTGTATTGCCAAGTGTTTTAGTACAAAATAGTCAACGTGTCCCTCCAAGTTGAGGGGAGCCCCTACTTATACAAAAGCTGCTAACGGTAACAACATGAGGCATGAATGGGGAGCTAAGCCTTTAATTCTCTCTCATCAATGGTAGCTTCAATGGTGGCTTCAATGGTAGTAAAGGTGACACCCGTTGTAATCCATGTGGTGCCGGGTCAAATATGGTGCCGGGTCAGATGCTGCTTATGACCCGGGTCGGGTGCCAGCACCATTATCCTGTCACCAGCAAGGTTGCAAAACTCGGCCGCCTAGCAGCCTAAGCGCTAGGCAGCACCGAGCCTTAGAGTTTTGGCCTAAAGGCGGCCAAAACTCGGCCGGCCGCCTAGGCGGCCAAACTCGGCCGAGTCGTTCAACTCGGCCAACTCGGACGAGTCGACCGATTTCGTCCGATTTTGACCATTTTTGACCGATTTTGTTCGATTTTGACCAATGTCGTCTTTCATTAATTATTGATTTTAATATTATTATAACATTATGACTTATAAATTATCATTATTTCATTTATTTAGATGTGTTATTTGAGTGAACGTTGAAAACAACCTCATTAAAATTGTCGAACAACAAGTCTTATCACTATTTTTTTAAAAAAATTTTGGTGCCCGCCTAGCGCCACCTAGAATCCGCCTAGGCGCTAGGCGCTGCCCGGCCGCCCGACTACTGCAACCATGGTCACCAATCCCCCCTACTCCTGAGTACGGATGTGTTTGAGTTGACTAGGGAGTAAGACTGGATTTTCTTGATATCGTGCAGAATCCCGGTTGATCCTGAGTATGTGATTTTATTTTATTTTTCATGCTAGCCGAGACGGGCTTCGGCGTAGGTTGGCAGGCCGAGGCGCGCATTTTGGCCAATCGTGGCCGATGCTTCGGCTGATCGTGGCCGAGACGAGCTTCGACCATTTTTTTTTTTTTTTTGTATGCTGGCCGAGACGGGCTGCGGCCTAGGCTGGCCGAGGTGCGTGCCTCCGAGCGATCGCGGCCGAGGCCTCGCCTCGACCGATCGTGGCTGAGGCGTCGCCTCGACCGCTCGTGGCCGAGGCGTCGCCTCGATCGGTCGTGGCCGAGGCGTCGCCTCGACCGATCGTGGCCGAGGCGTCGCCTCGACCGCTCGTGACCGAGGCGTGCGCCTCAGCCGATCGTGGCTGAGGCGTCGCCTCAACCGCTCGTGGCCGAGGCGTGCGCCTCAGCGGCTCGTGGCCGAGGCGTGCGCCTCAGCCGATCGTGGCCAAGGCGGGCTCCAGCCTATTGTTTTTTGTTTTTTGTTTTTTTTTTTTTTTGAAGGCCGAGACGTGCGCCTCGGCCGAACTGTGGTCGAGGCGTGCGCCTCAGCCAATCTGTGGCCGAGGCGTGCACCTTGTCTACTTTTTGGCCGAGGCGTGTGCCTTGGCCTTGCCAGCTTTTCCTCTGTTTTTTTTTTTTTTTTCCGAAGGCGTTCCGTGGATGACGAAAACGAACCTGCTTCAATAAAAAATATGGGCGGACCATTTTTCCTAAGACGCTTCGTAAATGATGATTATGCTTCAATAAACAACATGGGCGGACCATGAATACAAGATATTATTTCAAAAGATTTCATAATATAAAGCGGGCGGATCGCGATTACCAAACACTAGTCCCAAATGACTACCAGAATATTAAGGAAAATACTTAATCAAATGTTCCAAGTTCCATACCCGATCGATCATCCTTGCAGGTGGTGTGGACTTGTAGATCCTTTCTGCCAATCTTTTTGCATGCTTTTACGTAACAACTGCAGGCTGCTCGTTGATCTCCTCTGACGACTCCTATCTCATTCGGAGTAGGGAACTTCATACACAAGTGTAATTCAATTATTAACTTAAACTTTTAGTTGATAATTGAGATAAAACACATGCTTCAATTTGATATCTACGTCGACATTGACCTAAGACTTTTTGTATTCTTATAAATAGATATATTCATGTACTTTTGTAGATTATAATGATCAATAAGAAAATTCTTCCCAAATTATTGTTCTCATCTGGTATCAATAAACCAAACGATCCATGGTTGCAAACCATGCCAATACTGTCGCCACCACAGCCTCTTGCTCTCGCACCATCTCAGATATTGCCCCTCCAACCCTAGC